AGGGGGGGGGATTAAGCTTTCAGGCAAATTTGCAGCACTTATCTTTTTTTGTAATAATCATTTCATTTCAGTGAGCCAGTCTTTTTCAGAAAAAAGGTTTGAGAGCGTACAGTCGGTTCTTTTCATTTCAATGTGTTTGCCAAACGAACAGTAGAAGAGAGGATATTGCCAGTTGATTTATGTATCACATTTATAAAGACAAAGGGAGAAATGTTGGATAAAAGCCAACGCTATCTTAGTGATCAGCAGGTGCTCAAGGTGAGGAGAAGCTACAAAGAGAATAAAATAAAAGCAACAGCTCATCATATCAACTGGAGAATTGGTGCATTGACAGAAGCAGATTATTGATAAGAACTACTGAGTAAACAAAGATCAACTGGATCAAATTAGCACGTACAGACAACAGTGGAGGTTTCTAGTTTTACGAAAAAAAGCATGCCATCTATTGTGAATGTCCTTCCATATCAAACCTGATGTATGGCAAACATACTGAGGTTGCAGCACTTTTCTCCTAACATGAATACAATGAATAAGAAGCTAACTGAAAATATACCATCAGAAAAGTGGCATTTCAGCCAAGATAGAGCAAATTCTCAGGCAAGAAGAGGCTGGTTCCAACTTAAATGGCTATTTAGATCTATATCTATATACTCATTAATTTGAGTATACTGTTTTTTAACTAAATACAAATCTGTACATTTGACAGTGTATTGATCAATGAAAATGATCCATTGTTACACATCAAATTGAGAAAAAACAGTGTCTTCAGTGACAAATTTTGTGAGGAAACGCTTCTTAATCTGAAGGTTTGAAGGACAGCTGTTAACATTATCTGTAAGACTTTTATGGAGGCAAAAATGAGGCCCAGGTTTTGAGGGATCAGGCTATTGTAAGAGCAGAAAGAGAAGTGAAGCTGTGTGATGGAGGAGTGTGAGAGTCGGCCCTTCAGGTGTGAATACAAGCCGTCTGATTCAGTGTCTAATAAAGCCCTCCTGTGAAGAGTTAAGAATAGACAGAGCTGAGACATTTAAAGTATATTAAAGCTTTGTAAAACATTTAACAAAGCCCAGTGGACTCTGAGTTATTAATGCATTAGCTTTGTGAAAATGTAACTGTCCATAATTCATTCATGCAAATTGTTAAACTATTTACTGCTGCAACAGATGCTAATTAACAGTTGCCCCTTTTAGGAATAATAAAGGGTTTTCGAGCCAAAATATGGGAAAGGGACACATGTGAGGGCAGGAGGAACTTGGTGTGTCCGTATGGTGATGGCAGACTCTTATTTATAGACCTTTCTTGTAATATTTTACTGACGTTCATCTGTTGACAGGAGTCAGCCCGACAATGCATAATGGGCATCACGATCATTTTAATTGTAATGGTCCTCTACATTTCATCTGTAAACTGTGAAGCACAGCGTTACTGAAGTGATCCTGGAGATCACACTTTTACCAATTAGACTCAGGTCTTTCATCCTCCTATTGCGCACTGAATTGATAAATCACAGCTATGCTTGTGATGTGCGCTTCACTCAAATCGTAAATAGCAGTCTATGGTAGATAGAGCACCTAATTAAACAGGAACCCTGCTGTTCTGGGATCAGTAAATGGTAAAGGTTTCCTCTTTAAACCTCTGTGCCACTGTTGTCAGCATATTAAAGCAGCGGGGTTCAAGCTAGATGTAAGCCTTTTACATAATTATCCCTTGGAACATTTGGTGTTACTGTGGGATCACACAGCAAATGAATTAATACATTAAAAAACCTCCAACGCTACATATTTAGGAAAAATCATGGCACAGCATAAGCATGTTTTCCCTTAACCTCTTATACAGTTTTTAAAAAGGGCCCTTAGAGACCTTTCTACTTTATTTTATTTTCAGTGGTCTAAGAAACATATCTACAATGTTGCATTCATTAACGGTTAGGAACATAATTTAAAACCCACCCTGCACTCTTTTAGTCACTTGGAGAATGTCCAATAGGCAATATGCCAACAAAGAAAAAACAAATGAAACTTTGAAAAGAATAAATGTTTCTCAATCAGTTTCTTGAATCTCTCAGATTAAGCAGATAATTCTCCATGTGCTCATTAATATGAGACTCCTCGCATATTAATAATATTATATAAACTGGTATTAGTGGCTTTAAGGCTTTCAATTTCCAAATTCCATATAATATGATAAATGACGACATGCCTAATGTTCCTGAATGTTTTCAGAAAACATACCCTGAACTTTTCCTCTGTTTTATTTTGTTTGCATGTATCATTATCATTATGGATTTCCGGACTGTTCATATTTACTCTCAAAACCACTGAATCATCAGGACTTTAGACAGGAAGCATACAGGTTTTCAGATTAAATGTGTTTTCTGTATTTGGTGCAACATTTAAAGTACTTGTGTTGGCAATACCAGAGCTGAGGGTTGTTTGGGTTATAATACTTATCCTGTTAGACCCCTAGCCTGTTTTTCAGGTCTCAGGCTCGAAAATGACATTTCCAGAACAAATGACCTTAACTACACTTCTAAAAGTGGAAAATTAATAATCGTTTTTCTAAAAGTAATGATAAACCTGAGTTGGATGTAGAAAAGTCAGAATCAATATAGATGTTTTTTTTATTTTAAAGAAAATTCAGATTGAACATCAAAACTGTAAATTATAGTGTCTGTCCAAAAATTATTTTGTACTTATAGTGAAAACTAACCTTGGATGATGGGTTAGTAGACTAAAAGATTTAGGAATCCAAAGTACAACATATAATAAGTACCCTGTATAAAGATAGATGCAAGAAAAGTGAAATTTGACCTTTTTAGAGAGATTTAGCACAAAAAACCCCACTTCTGAGGTCATTTGGGTGGATTTGACCTATCTCTGGCCCCCCTTGGTCGATTTTGATGATTGACATCTCTTTTTAACCACTAGAGCCAATGGAATCGAGGGTAAATTCCACATACACACACAGGTTACCAAATAAGGAGTGAGAGTGACGCGTAGAAAAACCGGAAGCTGCGCTAACCTCTGGTGGCTACCATTAGCAGCACATTTTTTCTTCTCCGATTTTTGCATAAAAATGGCATTATGGA